AGCCTTGAGCATATTTTTCTTATCCTTATTTTCTGTCTTGATCTCAGATTCCAGGGCATATTTTTAAAAAAAATTAAGCCCTTTGACAGTAATTTATCGCTATATTTTAAAGATATTCTTCTCCAATCTTATTTTCTGGTTTAATTTAGAATTTGCCTAGGTTGCCTATACTTTTTAAGCATTAAGTAGCTGTTAACTAAGCACTTCAATTGAATAAAAGCCTCAATTGTTTTTAAAAAAATCCTTAGCTATCCCTTTTTAAGAATTTTAGGCTTTTATTTTCCTTTTTAAAGTCTAGTTATCTCTTCAACAAAAAACAACCCCCCAATCTCTTCTAACCTCCCTACAGCTCTGACAACGGAAAAGCTCGAGCCACTATTTATAGGTGGACATCTCACACCCTGGAATCTGCAGCTCCTTCCACCACCTACCTCAGAAAAAATAGTGCCTTTGCATACAAAGGCCTGTAGGGGGAAAAGGACTTGTTGATTAGTTGTATAATTAGTATTTTCTCCCAAACTAATACGTGATTCTCAAAACATTGTTAAAATGTTGAGTTGTTATGCCCCCCTGAGCCTTTTTAAGCAGAAAACAATTTAGGAAACATTATGCAAGATTGATCCTTGTATTTTGCCCCAAGTAATTTATAATGTAATTTATAAACCAGAAGTAACAGTTCATTTAGTGACCATTCAAAGTTACAACAGCACTGAAAAAAAGTGACTTATCACCATTTTTCACACTTATGACCATTGCAACAACTGACTCATGAGGGTTGCAATGTCCAGGGGTCATGTGATCCCCTTTTGGAAACTTCTAACAGGCAAAGTCAATAGGGAAGCCAGATTCACCTAACAATCATATTGCTAACTTGACTGCAGTGATTCACTTAAGAGTTGTGGCAAGGTCGTAAAATGAGGCAAAACTCACTTAACACATTTTTCACTGAGCAACATAAATTTTGGGCTCAATTGTGGTCATAATTCGAGGATTACCTGCATCTATACACTCTGAGACTAAACTGCAAACTGCATATTTGGTTTCTAAGCTATACAAGGATTGCTGTATAACCTTGTTACAGAAAATGCCCCAAATGTTAAGTTACAAAGTACTGCTTTTTCCCAAATGCCACTACTTAGGTTTTAAGTCAGCTTATATTTTGATTTTAAAAGGGGGTTTATACCGCCTTGTTCTTTTGAGGTACAATAATGTAGTGCAAGTCTCCATGTTTATATCCAGATCATCCCTGCAAGGTAGACCAGCCAGGGAATTGTCAAACACCTCCATGGCTTACCAGGATTTGACTCCTGAGAGTTTGCAAAGCGCTAATAGGGCAAAAGCACGTCCTCTCCTACTCTCTCCCCCACCCCCCAATACACATTAAATCATATGGGTTTTAATTAATTAAGGCACGTCCTTAATTCTTTTAGTTGCTTTGTCCTCCAATGCCTCCAATGAGTCCAGATTATACCCAGCGTTTAACTTCATGCAATATTAGCATGGAAATCCGACCCGGGAATGGAAACCCAACCAAAAGGGGATTGTTAAAAGTCCGCCCCTCCCTCCCAGCAGTTGGACAAGGCAGCTCGGCGGCCATTTTGTGTTCGCTCTCGGCGCAGACGCCATCTTAACGTTGAGAGGAAAGGGAGGCGGGGCTCACGAGGCGCGGAGGGATACCGTGAGCGAAGGGCGGGGAGGGTGGAGAGGCGATTATGTCGCAGCAGCGTCCGCTCCGCCAGGCGAAGGGAGGGGGAGCAGGAGCGGCTGGTTCTAACCGGCTCAAACCAGTCCTAGGCAGCCGGGAAGGTTCCGGATGCCGCAGGACCGCAATGCGCACGCGCAACTCTGCTACGCCGTTTGCTCCCCCATCCCTCCCGCTTCCGGCCTTTTCTGAGGGGATTTTTTTTGACGCTTACTTTATTCACAATATGTGAAGAAATAATGTTTGTTACGTGTTTCAAGCAGGGCTGGTATATCTCCGTTTGCCTCGGGTGACAGAACCGACTGTTAGGCCTGAGTTTCCATTGTGTAAACATGACATAGGGAACCTGGGGACTGAATTCACCGCCCATTTTGTTGCGTTCATTTGTTAGCCTTCGCACTTGGGTGACCGAAAGCTCTTTAATTGACCTGGAGAAGCGTAAGGGATTAAAAAAAACGGACAAAGGGCTGGAAGAGATTTAAGAAGAGTCTGGACAGCCATTTGTCCAGAATGGGATATGTTGGAACGGACTTTGGAGGTCATCTAGTCCAACCCCCTGCTTAAACTTTTCTAGGTCTCTCCAAGGCAATATTCTTATGGGTCATTGCACCTCAGTTCTCACAAGCACCTTTACTGTATTTGGTTGCAACAGCATTCTCTTAACTCCCATAAGGTCTCCTGCTTTGGGGAGGTGGACTAGATGACCTACAAGCTCCCTTCCAACTCTGTTATGCTTATTATTCCTCCCTTAGTATTCCTCAACCACAGAAACAATAATTTACATCACTAGGAGAATGATTTGCTTGAATCATTCTCCTAGTGATGTAAATTATTCTCGTTTCTGTGGTTGAGGTCTCTGATGTTTCATGGTAGGCCTTTTGGAAGGATCTATAGAGCATGGCCCTGAGGAAATATTAACTGGGCATTATGAGGCTTGATGTCTTTGTCCACTTTAGCTGTTGCGTTTCCCAGTTTTTGTTGTACTTCCAATTCCTTCCTTCTGCAAAGAAGATGGAGGACGGACCTTCATTGGGATCTAGAACAGGTGGCGGAGGAGTCCGGAATAGTTTTTGACACTATACACCAAGATTTACTTGTGATTCTCACATGACAGTTGGAGATTAGGCACACTGTCTTGGTGCAGGTCTGTTACAGATTAATAGAGTTGGAAAGGACCTTGTAGGTCATCTAGTCCAACCCTCCACTCAAGCAGACCCTACGACACCATTTCTGACAAATGGGCAGTCCAGTTTCTTCTTGAAGGCTTCCAGTGATGAAGCTCCCACAACTTCTGAAGGCATCTTCTATCCCATTGGTTTACTGTTCTCACTGTCCTTGGGTGGTACCCACAGGGTGGGGGTGGGGAAGGTGAGAAGAGATTGCCCTGGTAGGAGCTCATTTTGGGGGGCTCCTGCAAGATTCAGTGCCCTCACCCCTACTTTAACAGGATAATTGTTGCTTTGAAGACAGTTGCCATCAATATCAATCTCTATGGAGATTCTCAGTCATCCAGGTCATGGGTGTCCAGGTCATGGGTGTGCTTTTTCAGGAGGCAAGAAAGTCCAATTGCCTTCCTTAAAAATCAACTTTGGGACATCAATATCAATATTTCCATTTGGATGGGGGCCAGATATGTTATAGAAATCAGATATGGTGTCTTGACATCTTGGTGGGATGAAAACAGGCTGGAAAGCAAATATTAACCAGATGCACGTTTTGTTTAGGGACTACCTGTGTGTTCCAGTCTTAACTTTGGATGGGGTGTCGCTGTCAGCAAGTCCTCAAAATGGGGATCCTGCTGGATACACAGTGGAGGCCATGGCTGTTGTCCTTTGCCCAGCTCTGGCTGGTGCAGCAGTTGCAGCTTTATTTAGAGCTGGACCTTATGACCCACCTGATCAGATCGCCACCAGGTGCCACTGAAGATTACACAGAAACTTGACTACTTGAAATGCTGTTTCAGATACCCATGTTGTGGGTGCTCCATTTGACTGCTGGTAGGTTTCTGGCTTCAATTCAAAATGCTATTTTGATCTTTAGGGCCTCTCATGGATGGGGCTTCTTAAATATTTACAGACCACTGTTTGCAAATACTGGTTTCTGCACTGGTCATAGTTGGAGATGCTTTTAGTCTACTTCATTTCGGAGGTTCACTTTTCTGAGGTGGCCTCCATTGTGTGGAATGGCCTCCCTTAGAAATCTCACTTAATTTCCTTCCTAGATGCTTATGAGATTGATTAGACTGGGTTGGTGCCAATGGTTTTTGTCGCCGTGACAATTTTACTCCTATATGTTCAGTTTTATAATTTATTATTTTATCCAGTTTTATTTTTTGTGCCGATTGCAGCGCAGAGATGGCGGTAATTAGCTGCCGCAGAAAATAGTGATTCGTTGCTTGTGATTTTCCACTTTCATGGAAGGCTCTGCCTTTTTAGCTGCCTGAGTCCTAAGAAGGATAGGGCAGCCATGTCAGATGGGAATTCCTGGAGATGACTGAATTTACAGAAGATTAAGGAGGCTGGTGTTAGGGTGATGAAGTTGCCAACAATTCAGAGTTTGCACAAAACTTCACCACACCTCCCTTTATAAATTATACTACAATCAGCCAGGAACCTCAGCTTCCAAAATACCGAACCAAAACCATAGTGGGGCATACAGGGTATCCAAATCCAGATATTGAATCACACTTTGAATTAAGCCGTGAAGTGTTTTTATCCTTGTCCGTTAAATAAATAGTAACGCTATGTTCCAATTAGCCCCAAATTGTGGTTTACAAATCAATATCCCTGCACAAATGTGTATTTGTGCCATTGTGCACAAACATAAGGTACAGGCTGGGTTAAAGGCCATGCTTAGCTGATGTGGGGCGTGCAGTTTCTGTGACTGGGGTGGGTGGGGAAAACCTGTTGTACAAGGCATCTGGAAGACTGAGTCAAGTAAGGATTAAAAAGAAAGACAGTCAATATTTTGTTCTTTGTTTATCTGGAAGGCTTTAGAAATCCAGCCTCTCGCCCTTCGTTCCAGACTCGCTGCATTGAATACATCCAGAGGGGGGGAAAAACCTGCATGCTCACGTGTTGGTTTTCCAAACAGAATATTTCGCCTGCTCCGACAACAGCAACTGCAGAATTATATAAATGTGCAAACTCACCCTAAGGGTGGCTCCCCTCTCTTTTGATTGCATTCTGTACTATGCGGCTATTTGTGGTGGCTTGGAGGGGGGAGGATCTGTAAGATGGTGAATCAACAGCCGGATCTTGTTTTACTTCCTCTTCCACCCCCCGCCCCCCCCCCCCCCCCCCCCATCAACACCACCTTCCTGGAGCGGCATGGAATTTTCCTCCATCCAGGCTTGTGCGTGTGATGAATGTGTGGATGCATGAGAGTTCAGTTCCAGGATTTCTGGAGGGCACCGAAAGGAAAGAAGGTATCCAGAGCTTTCTCTGTATACCTGCCTTCTATGAGGTGAGATTAACAGGCACAGGGGGTTGGCTAGTGGGGACACCCTTTTTAGGAGTGCCTGGATGTGTGGGACTGCCCTAACTAGCTTGCAAGAATCCAGACAGCCACTAAGTGGCCAGCAAACAGAATACAGAAAGCCCTGTATCCTTGTTCAGTGATCTGGACTTTGCACCCAATTGTGGCTTCCTTTCCCTTTTACCTTTTTTTCTATTTGATGTGGTTGTCCAGTGTTGTGTTAATTTATTGTTGATTGAGAGTCTAGGAATAATACTGTCAATAACACATCTCAAAAGCTCTTTGATGGTCCAGTGAGCAATACGAAAGAACCCACTCAGCCCCAAGGATCACAAAGCAGAAAAGAAGCCAAGATGGAGGGAATGTGATAGGGATCAAAAGAAAGAGGGTTGAAGGCGTGGAACATTTTTTAAGAGAGGCAGTGCATATTGCTTTATTGAATATTTTTGTCTAAGTAGTTATGAGTACTGTCGTTTTTCCCTGTAAAAAAGCAGACAATAAATCCTAATAAAGATGGTCATATGCAGGCATATTCATTTGGAAAATAGGCATTTGGCCAAGAAAGGTCCAGGGTTTAACTAAATGTTTTTCTCCATGACTACATGTGCAGTGCAGCATCTGGAGGATGAGGTGGCTTGGTTCTGGTCTACTGTTTCGGGGCAGAGAATCTTAAGTTAGTTTCCAGCCAGATCCCAGAGTTAGGTAGTGCTAAGATTAAGATGTGTTTATTGAAAAAGTTCCATATGCCTTAATGAGGGATACCAAGTAGGTGATTCAATAGATAGGATATAAAATATATGGCCCTATGCACTTGCTAGTACAGCAAGGAGGAAGCTCACAGAAGTACCAAGCTGATCAGAATGTGTTAAAGTGAGCGAATTTGTGCTGGAAAATGTAACTTTTTGAGGGGGGCACACCCATTCAAACAAAAAAATATTATTTGCTTCTCTGTTTTTTTCCTGCCTCGTAGATGTATCAGTAACTAAAATCTCAGTGTCATTATGTCTGGAATTCACTTTTTGCCTCAGAATAAAAGATGATGACATTTGGGGAGGAGAAATAGCAGGAGAAAGTATGTATTTGCAGCTCCTTTTTCTGGTGCAGAATCCACTCTTATCTCTATAAAACCAAGATATTTGGGATAGTTCTCAGGGACGCTTTATTCAGCATTTTCTGGGCCTGACCCAGCCTTCCCTAATTTCAATCCCAAACAGCTGGGATTGGGAAGATTTTTCTCACAAGGAAACCCTTTCCCTCCGCTAATGCTTTACAGGTTGAGGAGCAAGTTAGGGTGTCTTGGGAACACAAAACCGGGCCATTTAGCAACATCTGTGTCATCTGACTAGTCTGGCATCAGTTTATTCCCAGGAACCCTGGTTACCAGTCATAGGAAATGCTGTGCTGAAATGGGTCAAGGCAGTATTGGTTCTTCATGTGGCCTTGGGAGTGGGTCTCTTCCTCCCTTGCCCCCTCTATTCCCATGTATTTCTTAGTAATTAGTAATTAGTAATGCAATAATCCTTAATAGACTCTCTTTCTTTAATGTATTTGTTTTCACATTTTGTGACAATGACTTCCACAAAATGTGAAAGTTAATGATGTGCTGTCTGGAGAATCTCCTTGTGCATTTTTCTGAGTTAGACACATTATTTTGTACACCTTGGTCTTTTTTTCTGAGGTATGGAAACCCAAATATTGTAGGGAAGACATTTGAGCCCCCTTTTGGTTTGTTTAATGTGTCACTTATCACTCAACTTTGTTTTCTTTATGCAGAAGTTGGCACGAGTCTGGGATGAATGCATGCTTGTTATCTGAGAAAGGCCTTGAATGCAGTCCCTTATGTTCTCACACTACTACAAACTCTTTTAAAAGGCAACCCAAAACTGTGGCCGTACAATCATACTCCCTACAGAAGTGAATTAATTTTCCTTGAACTAATAATGTATGACACTGTCTTGCTTTATACAACATGGTTGAATCTAAACCAGGATAACATAACATAACTGTATGTAATGTTTATGTATAATACAATGTTAAGACAATAGTTGTATTCCTACAATATGCTTGACAGAAAATATCCAACAGTATTTAGGCTCAACCTCTATAGATACTAAAGAGATCCATTCACCAAAAAGTGTAGAAGGCCAGAAACACTTCCTCTTAATAGAGAATCTTATCTGTCTTCTATTCCCCTAGATATGTGAAAACTTTGTTGCCGTTTGTACCTATTTAGGTGACAGTAAGAACAACAAAAAGACATTTCCTCAAAATTGAAACTGAATAAGCTGAGGATTACAATGTCTCAAGAATGACTTTCTGGACATTGAATATCAAAAACTGAGACAGCTGCTAGACTTAACCTTAAATAAGTGGCATCCTTCAGCCTATACCACTTTTGGTAAGCAAAATAATTTATTTCTAATTATAAACATAATAAATGTGTGTAGAATAAATATTTAATATGAAATAGAATATATCGATTGAATATATTGATATTTAGAGTTTATTTACCTTTCCTGTGTTCTTGTATTTTATTGCTTGCAGTGTTCCCAGGCTCAGTTTGTAAGCCACACTGAAGATACAAAATGCCTAAACGAAAATGCGTCTTTACTGACAAACTGAAGCAGAAATATCCTCATTTTCGTAAAGGTAGAGATGACTATGAAGCAGAATGCTTGGTCTGCAAAGCTGGCACATTTGTGTCAGTGGCACATAAAGGTGCCAGTGACCTGGAGTATCACATGTCCTCTGAAAAGCACAAGAAAGCCCTCGGAGGAGACAGTTGGTCTGCAAAGCTGACTGAATTTTTGGGGACTCCAGGCACGAAAGCCGAGGATGCTCTTGCTGCAGCGGACAGCACGCTACCCTTGCACACCATCCCAAGTTGCAACAGCTACAAATCAGCAGGCCGCACCTCTGAGTTGTTCAGAAAAATATTTCCTGACGCAGAGATAGTGCAAAAATTTTCCAACACCCGGAGCAGGACAGAAGCTCTTGAGAACTCAGTCTTTGCCCAGCATGCAGTGAGCATTGACCTGGAAGAACACGGCATCCCTTTCTGCGGGGTGGCCATAGATGACAGCAGCCATAGGGCCGTGAAAATGGTCCTGGTACTCATCCAGTATTACGACTACAGGAACGGCGGCTTGAAGACCAAACTCCTGGACCTTCAGGAAACGGCCACTGAGACGGATGTTTCAGACTCTCTTGTCAAAGCTCTTAAGAAACACAGATTGCTTCAGAAGTGCGTGGCGTTCGCGGGGGACAACTGCAACACCATGTTTGGTGAACTTCGGCAAGACGAGGAGGCGAGGACTGTGTTTGCCCAGCTGAAGAAATCCCTCCAGAGGGAGACGTTGATCGGGGTGTACTGCCCTGCCCACATTTTGCACAACTGCATCCACCACGGAGCAGACGCCCTCGAGGTGGACGTTGAGAACATCATCCTAAAGATCTACCAGTACTTTCACATCTACGCGGTGCGGACGGAATCCCTGCAAGAATACTGCGAGTTTGTGGAGGTGGAGTACAAGCGGCTGCTCTCCCACAGCAAGACTCGGTGGCTGTCCTTGTTCCCCGGCATCACAAAGTTGCTCCAGATGCACTCGGCCCTGAAGTCCTTCTTCTTGGGCCAGAGCAACCCGCCCGCCGTGCTCAAGAGCTTCTTTGAGCACGAGTTCAGCGAGCTCTACCTTTGGCACATGCACTCGCTGATGAACGCCTTCCATTTGCACATTGAAGAGATGGAGCGGGAAAATAACTCCCTCGTGGAAGTGATGAAGACGCTGGACTCTGTGCACACCATCCTGCTGGACCGAAGAGCCCAGAACTTCATGTCCCTGACGGTGAAGGGGATGCTTGCAGACAAGCGTAAGGAGGGGCTGGAGGAAGGATGCGACGCCTTCTCTGATGCGGTGCGTCGCCTCTACAGTCATTGCATAGACTACCTGGAGATGTGGATGTCATCTCTGCAAGAGTTTTCTTGCTTCGCGTGGATGGCCCTGAGTGACACACCCAGCTGGAGTGACGTGGAAGCATGTATCACTTATTTGATTGAGAAAGGTGTAGAGATTGATGACATCAGGTGTTTTGACCAGTTCAACAACCTGAAAAAATTTGTGGAAGCTTCCAGCGACGAAGAAGAGTTCCAGCATCTGCTTTCACATCAAAAGTGGACTAAATACTTCCTGAAGGCCAAAGCCATTGAATGCTATTCAGAACTGTTAAAAATTGCGCAGTTCTTCTTCGCAATTCCCTCCCACAGTGTAAATATGGAATGGAGCGCTTCTTTTCATTGACACAACGGAAAGGATATGCTTGAATGGCCTTTCATTTAATTTTAAAAATAACCGTTGGAAACATTTTTGTGCGTGCTTTGTTCTGAAGAGAAATGCACGTGCACACCACAGGAAATAACAGGAAAAGCTATGTGTCTTTTGGGATGTACCATCTGTACACAGTAGAATTTTAGGGCAGCGGCCCCCATCCTTTTGGGCACTAGGAACTGGTTTTGTGGAGAATGGTTTTACCGTGGAACGGTGGGGGCGTGATTCCACATGCAGCCTGCCACCTCATGGATGGGGCTTCACTTGTATGCACAGACCAGTTTCTGGCATGCCGCAGCCCAGTGTAGGTCCAGAGACCAGGGATTGAGGATCTCTGCTTTAGAGTATCATCTATAATTAGAAGTATCAGTGATGGTTGTTCTGTTTTTGTCATTAGTTGTGGCCTTTAACCCCTCATTACTGATTCAGAAATCTTTTCATTGAACCAGGTTTGGGATTGATAGCAAAACTGAAGGGAAAACCCTTTTTCCAAGTTATTTTTACTTTTGAAGGCAGTTTTGCGATGTCATGAAGTTGGCAGACTCACAGTGTAGCACAGAGCAAGATGTCCTGCAATCTAGGATCTTCTACCTGAGCTCTGCTATAATGGTTTAATAACATCTGAAAAGCAGCACTCTTTTAGGAGTTGAGATTTCAATCCATTTCCAAGCTTAATAGCCAACCCTCTTTCACTGCTTAATAGCTGGACTGATGGATAAAAAAGCCATTTTTTAAAAGTTATTTTACCAGTTAGTGCTTCTTTGAAAAAAATACTTTGAAGGGGCTTTCAAGGCAAAAAAACCCTAATATTCCCCCCCTCTCTTTTTGCCCATGGAGAAATCTGGCAAAAGCAACAGCTACATCTGGTTTAGAAAGTCAGCTTCTGGTTGAAGAGCTAAATAATGTGCCAGAAGTTATAGAAGACTTCTCATTCAAAGAACATTTGAGCAACTAAGCTGAGAAGACAAAATAGAGCAATGGATGAACCACCGGATCTCTTTAGAAATCCATCAAACCCAGAGAGAAGATTCCCAGTGCCGTATGATGGACCCTGCATTATTAATGAAGAATCTCTTTAATAAAATTCAATTATGGTACTCAACCATAGTATCAGGCCTGGGCTCAAGCAGTTCTGCGGTGCAGGAACAATTTTGTTGCTTGGAAGCTAGCAGAGGTCATTTAAACAGTAGTCAAATCCTCAAAATGAATCAGACAAATGGTAAGAAATGCAACTTTCCAAAAAGGAAAAAAGTAGGCATTGTTTTTTTTTTTAAAGTGGCCCTTTATTCACCAAATTAGTGTAAATACAGGTAATCCTCGACTTACGACAATGAAGCCCAAAATTTCTGTTGTTAAGCCAGACTTCATTAAGTGAGTTTTGCCCCATTTTACAACCTTTCTTACTACCGTTGTTAAGAGAATCACTATGATTGTTAAGTTAGTAACAAGTTTGTTAAATTTATCTGGCTTCCCCATTGACTTTGCTTATCAAAAGGTTGCAAAAGGGGATCACATGACCCTGGGACATTGCAACGGTCATAAACAAGAACCAGTTGCCAAGTGTCCGAATTTTGATCATACGATCATGGAGATGCTGCAAAGGTTGTAACTGAAAAATGGTCATGTCACTTTTTTTCAGTGCGGTTGTAACTTTGAACAGTTACTGCTGTAAGTTGAGGACTATCTGTATAGATTTAAATAAATAAGCACATTAACAAAATAATTTGCAATTAAATGTTTGAATTTGAGGTGTTCAAGTCCCCATTTCTTGCTTCTCTACAGATATTCATAAATACTAAAATCTGTGAAATGTAGAGATGTAGGTTTCTAACTTAAAATAGCAAAATTGAAATTAATGCCTTGATTTAAATCATCCAAAGGTTTAGAATGATTTCACACAAACCCTTCATGAGAGAAAATTAATATTCGGAAACCTAGTAGAGAGAAAGGAAAAAGTGGCTTTGGTCGAAGGTGGGAAAAATTAAGAGGCAAATATATTTTTAAAATGAAATTATAACAATGGTCATCAACAGTTAATTGAAGCTATATTACATGCTTGGAGAAAATCACAAATGGAATGTTTGCTGATTACAGTATTTCATTTATTATGAACTTTATAGCAAAACAAAATTGCTTCATATATTGTGTATTGGACTACAATACCCATTAACCACAACCAGCAGGCTATGGCTAGTTGTATATGATAAGAATTGAATTCAGCATATTTTGAAGTCACCAAACTCCAAAAGTCCATCAGTGAAAAGTTAATTTCAGGTGATAACTATAATCCATCTTGACAAAATATTTACTACTTACTTCTTAATAATACAGAAAAATGTGAGGTAGACAGATGTAGCTGTATCTGGCTGCCAAACCCCATTATCCTCTAGTCCTACACCTTTATGGAGCTACACCTTTATGGAGAGAAGCATGTAGTGGTGGACCCCAGGATTCTGCCCTAGACCCAGTATTCTTCAACGTCTTGATAACAATTTAGAATGATAGAAAGGGAACTCATCAAATTTTCAGGTGACACCAAGCTGTTAGGAATTGTCAGCACTTTAGAAGATAGGCTCAAGATTCAGAGAGAAGTTGAAAGACTTGAACACTGGCCCCTAGCTAACAAAATGCAATCCAGTAGCAAGAAAAATAAGGTTTTACCAAACACACAGGTATAGAAGAGGCAAGACCTGACTAAGCAGTAGAAGCTGAGAGAGGGATCTTGGAGTCCTAGTGGACAAACACTTAAATATGAGCCAGCTGCCAAAAAGGCCAACGCAGTCCTAGGCTGCATCAACAGAGGGATAGTTCCAAGATCACAAGATCTGCTAGTACTGCTTTGTACTGCTCTGGTCAAACCACACTTGAAATATTGCATCCAGTTTTGGTCGCCATGATATAAAAAAGATGTTGAGACTCTATAGAAAGAGTGCAGAAAAGCGCTACAAAGATGATAAGGCATCGGGACTAAAACATGATGAAGAGCTGCAGGAACTGGGTATGTTTAGCCTATTGAAAAGAAGGACTAGGGGTGACATGATAGCAGCCTTCCAATATCTGAGGCGCTGTCAACCTATTCTCCTAAAACACCTGAAGGCAGGAGAAATAACAGATGGAAATTTGTCAAGAAGAGATCCATCTTTGAACTAAGGAGGAATTTCCTGACAGAACAATTAACCAGTGGAACAGGTTGCCTTCAGAAGTTGTGGGGGCTCCATCACTGGAGGTTTCCAAGAAGAGATTTATTTGTCTGGAATTTGTGTAGGTCTCTAGAAGACCTCCAAAATGCCTTCCGATTCGGATATTCTGTATTCTATTCTGGGCATGGGAATTATACATTTGGAAGGCAGTGGGCCTGTTAAAGATTATTAATTTGTTAAGAGGCTGATTAAGAAGCTTTTAAACACATCACTGTGTTTTAAACAGCCAGTAATGTAAAGGGTGGTTATTGTAGTTTCTTATATGTTGTGTATGTACAATTTTCCTAACTCAATTATTGACTAAACCTATTTATATGACTTTATATAAAAGAAACAGCAAACCATAAAAAGAGCTCCCAAGAGGAACACGAATCATATTTAACTTGTGAATGCAGCTCCTCACGTAATCTGATTGGGTTAAATGTATTGTACAAGCAGGGAACAAATATCTATACCAAGTTTTATGGATGTTTATGACCACAAGATAGCTGATTAAGCTGGTTTGAGCCCACACAATAAATACATTTGATCATTTCTGTTTAAGATGGACTTTTCTTTGTATGACCCGCAAGTCAAAAGAAGGAGAGGAAGGAGAGAAGGAGAGCAACCTGAGAAACTAAAATGTTAAAATCCTTTACAGCAGATGTGTTTCCACATCAAAAGGATGAAGCCAGTGTGGAAAAAAAACACGCACATTTGTTTCCCTGAGCTGGAAGCTGCTTCAAGGCTGAACCAGAGGATGAATCACAGGCTCCCCAGGGGCCTCTGTGATGAGACCAGACCTGCTTCTGATGCTATTTGGGACTCAGATCCCGCCTGCCTGTGACACAGTCCAACAGGAAGTGGTATGTGATGAATGGAGACAATAAACTCTGTTCAACCCGACTGGTTTCTCCTGCTTGGCTTCAGGTAATGTGAAAAATGGGTCATGTGAAAAATGACCAGCATCCCTTGGTCATGTGATCAAAATTCAGAGGCTTGCCAACTGACTCATGCTTATGACAGTTGCAGTGTCCCAGGGTCATGTGATCTCCTCTTGTAACCTGACAAAAGTCAGTAAGGCAACCCGATTCACTTAACAACCATGTTACTAACAACTGCAGTGGTTCACTTAAGAAACATGGCAAGAAAAGTCATAAAATGGGATAAAACTTAACAAATTTCTCAGTAACATAAATGTGCCTTAATTGAGGTCGTAAGTTGAGGACTACCTGTCCTGGGAACTTGTTCCTACAATATACTGAACCAAAAACGGTATCTTATTTTAAAGAGAACTACAGGAAAAGAGTTGGAAGAGACCATCTGTGCTATCCAGTCAGTAAGACCACACTAGGAATACCGAACCCAGTTCTGGTCACTACAATACAAAACAGATGTATCATGTCTCTAGACAATGTGCAGAGAAGAGATTATAAGAAGCCTGGTATGATTAGCCTAATGAAGAGAAGGCTCAGGGGTGACATGTTAGCCATCTTCCGATACTTGGAGGCTTTTCACAGGAAAGGGGTTGATTTATTTTCCAAAGCATCTGACAAATGAGTTACACAAGCTCTTCTCTTACAATACTGTACAACATTCATGATTCATGGGTTGTTCCTATAACACATCCAACCTGGTTCCTGTTACATAGTTTTCTGGGTTTGCCTGATGAAAACTGGGCTGAGCTGGTTGTACCTTTGCAAAATCATACACTCAACCCTAATCCTGGTTAAAACTGGGGAGGATTAGCCTGATGTGTGAATGCAGTTTTTTTAGTTCTTGGACTAACCTAGTGAGCAAACCAGTAACTTGGTTAGAAGGGGAAATCCTACTTCCATTAACATTTGGGCAGCCTTCTCCAACATCCTACCCGCTCCAGCTCTCTGTCACATCCCAATCGTCTTTATCATCAGAGAGACATGCAAACAGAGAGATGTACAAACTGGGAGGTGAATTATGGTTCGTGTCACCATCAGCAGAGATCAGGAATGCTGCCCCGTGCTCTGCACCCTCTGGGTGAGTCACCACGAGGTGATCTGCAGAAGTGATGACTGGCATCCCTCAAGCCATACCTCAGCTATTGGCTTCAGCCAGGCTTCACATTCCAAAATGGAGAGGAAGAGCAGCAGGAAGAAGACAATTATCTTTGCCACGTCTGTATCCCTTCCCTAAACGGAGTCTCACAAACACTCTACACATCCCAAAGGTGCTTTTTCAAGAGGCAACTGGAATTTCTGGTTTTTCTTTGAAGACTTTTCACTTCTCTTGCAAGAAGTTTTTTCAGCTCTGACTTTTCATGCCAAAGGTTAATCGGAATAGAGAGGGAAGGGACCTTGGAGGTCTTCTAGTCCAGCCCCCTACTCAAGCAGGAGACCCTATACCCGTGATGGCGAACCTTTGGCACAGGAGCCACAGGTGGCACGCAGAGCCATTTGTGCCAACACGCAAGCCGCAGGCAAACTTACCTCTCTGCACATGCGTGCGCTTCACAGTTGATTTTCAGCTGGTTTGAGGCCTTTTTCGGCCTCCCAGAGGCTTGAAAAAAGCCTCTGCAGGCCGAATAATAGGCCCGTTTCTTCACTTCCTGTAATACCGGAAGTGATGAAATGGGCCTATTATTCAGTCTGCAAAGCCTGCAGAGGCTTTTTTCAAAAAAGTGCAGATAAGGGGGCAGTGCGGGGAGGATTGCGCACATATACGCCAGGGGGTGTGGGGGGGGAGGCACATTGCCTTCTGGGTGTTGGCATGTGAGCACGCGTGTGCCAGCACGCACACAATTTTTGGCACAGGAGCCCAAAAAGGTTAGCCACCACTGCCCTATACCATTCAAGTGGCTGTCCAATCTCTTCTTAAAAAACTTCCAGTGATAAGAGCACCCTCAGCTTCTGGTGGCAAGCTGTTCCACTGGTTAATTGTTCTGTCAGGAAGTTTCTTCTTAATTCCAGTTTGCTTCTCTCCTGCATTAGTTCCCATCTATTGTTTCTTCTCCTGCCTTCAGGTGCTTTGCAGAATAAATTGACCCCACCACCTCTTCTTTGTGACAGCCCCTCAGATACTGGAAGACTGCCATCGTGTCACTCCTGGTCCTTCTTTTCTCTAGACTCGGCATATCCAGTTCCTACAGCCGTTCTTCATAGATTTTTGTCTCCTGGCCCTTAATCGTCTTAGTTGCTCTTCTTTGCACTTTCCCCAAAGTCTCATTATCTTGCTTTTACTAAGTTCACAAGTTATATGCAGATTTCCCAAAG